CAGAGGAAATTTACATATCAGAACATCAAGAAGAGAAAAAAGGACAACGGAAAAGAGCTTGTGAAGACTAACAACGTTCAAGGAAAACCACCAAGGTCATTGAAGAGACTTTCATGAATATTGAGTGAACTTCACTAAATTTAAAGCTCTCTCTTTATCTTCTCTTTGTTTATTAAGAATATGTTTATTAAGAATAACTCTAATGGTTTCAGTATTATACGACTTCATAATCTGCAAAATAAATTATGTTTCTTCAATTTGAAATGTTGATGATAAATGAGTATTTTTTTTGCGGGATGCCAATAATGATACTTTAGTTGCTCTCTCACAATGCATCTCGATTTCGCTACGAATCTCGTCAGTAATATTTATATCATTTGTCAAGAATTTTTTTTCGAACAAATATTTTACCTGAAAAATATCTTGAGACTGTGAGTACATCAAACCATGACTAGTTTCAACTTTTTTAGAGGATCTTATCAGATGATTTAATATCTATTTTGATTCAAAGAGAATCAGAGAGTAGCGGATGTGGGTGTGGCTGTGGTTGCGGGTATGGGTGTGGGTGGGTGTGAGTATGGGTATGGGTGGTTGTGGCTGTGTATCAAGAATAGTCACACCCAAACCCACACCCTTATTCTACCACACATCTCTTTAAAACAGTAGTCTTACCTCGGAAAATCGTTAGTAGAGATGACATTTTAATTTTAGATTGAAAAGTTAAGTAAAAATAAGGCTACTTTAAACTTTTGTTTCCAAAAATTCAAAGTAAATCTTTTGTAGAAATGCTTCTTTGTAAAGAAAAAAGTTGTTTTTTCATAAAAAGCGAAATTTTTGTGAAAAACTGATCGTTTACAAAAAAAATAATCTTCATGGAATAAATATAATTTTATCAGAACAAAATTCGCATCTATTAAAGAACTATAAGGCATGAGACAGTTCTCTAATTCATAAAGCTACCACAAAGGAGATCTTCGAGTGAAACTTAAAAAAGTTCTATTCTTTTTTTCCCTAGTTCTCCTAGGTCAAGTTACAGATATGATCTGATGAGGGTGTGACTGTGGATCATCTCTTCATCAACAGCCACACTGACATCCCAAATGAATCTTTATCGTCGAAATAGTACATAGACATTTTACATGAATTATAATATTAAAATCTAATAGATAATATGCAGAAATCGAAGTATATTAATTTAATCATAGTCTAACTCGAATTAAATCGAATCCGAATAGAAATTTTCTTATTCGTTTTAATATCTAATTCATATTCTATAAGATATCAGTGGTCCCATAACTCGATAACAACGCTTGGATTCCCGTACAACCCTTATACTTCGACTATTTTTCACTCATCAATCGGATAAGTTTAGTGGATACAACGACTATACAATAGATCTCTTTTGGCTATTTTTGATATATTGAAAAAAAGAATATCTTCCTTGACACTAACATCCATTAGAGTTTTTAATTGCTTGTTGAACAGCAACATATCCCTTCACATCATAAATAACGTGTGAAAAAAGACTCGATAATTAGAAATAACAAGTTATTGATGATGAATTACATAATTTCCGATGGAAAATCATTTAACACCATAGAAATAAACGATCTTTTATTTCTCTTCAACACTTCTGAAATAAAAAAAAATCTTTTCTATTCTATAGACTCTGACAAGAATATCCTTATGAAAGAAGAAAGGTTTTATACATTGCAACAAAATTCATTTAACAAATTTACACGAGTAAAGTTTCCTTGTTTTATCATTTGTCGTCGTTCTATGCTTATTTTATATTATACTTTCATTCTAGTACGACACAATTAAAATCTAATCATTTTATTTTCATTATATTTATAGAACAAATTTTATTTTTCTCATAACAGTTTTGAATATTTTCAAGAAGGAAAATACTCTTTCTTTCATATAAGATTTGTTTTCCATCGATACTTATAGAGTTTCATCATTTCAATAACTATTTTAAAACAATAGAGAGAATTATTCAAGATAAGATTTTTTATATGACTGTTAGACGTCACTTATTTCATTTTTTTCAAATAAAACATTGATCATTTCGAGTAAAATTTTATGTTTAAACAAAATTGTCTTTTCAATATTGCTAACCATTTATTAATGAGAACAACTATTGTTTAATATATTGAGAAATAATCTTTGAGTAACTGTTAGTAATCGTAGGTTTTAATTCAATCTCATATCTATTCAAGACAGATTGAATATTTTTCTATTTTTTTTTGAAAACACTATACTCACCTTATTATCAACACATCTGTGTTATTCTCTTTTCTGTAAAACAATTTATTATATTCGGTAAAATTAGTTTCACGGAGATATTAGCTTAATATGCGCTAAAAGTCAAATCGTTGTCACATGGTTAATCAATTATTTTCTGATTTAGTTTGGTATATATTCGTATCTATCTCAAAATATAGTAGATAATTTCTGACAATCATATCTAGATAATATTATATTCATTGTCTCTACAACAATAAACTATGAGACATTCGTTTTTTGATGTGTTCTCACAAATACTCTTGTGCAATTGTCGACTTGAATCCATCAGTAGAAGAGATTTTATTTTTCTCACACACAAAATCGGACAACTTGTTGCTTTTATAGAATATAGAAATAGTTCGAATCTTTTCTAATTATACTAGTCAAATGTTCGCCAATTGACGACATTCCACATCACTTTCTCCAATGAACTTCTCCAACTTCGTCAATTTCCATCTGTTTTTCTTTTTATGTGCTCTCACATATTTGATGAAGAAGCAGTGCGTTCTCCATTCATAAACAAACGAGCCAATGCAGTATTAAGCTGGCTCTTCTCTTGAGATATTTTGTAGATTGATCAATGTCTGTCATGACACGTTCTCCTGGACGTAAACTTCAGGCTACAAGTCCAACAGGAAACTCATCTCATCCATTAGTGCAATAGGAAAAAAACAGTAGGCGAAAAGACAAGCAACGATAACTACAATTTTTGAAATATAATAACAACCACTTGTTCAGCAAATCCAATCGATAGTTCATTTCGATAGATACCCGTAAAAAATATCCAAAGGAAGGATCACTTACTGACACAACATCGTCATTTTCTTATCTTTTTAGTGGTCCTGTTGGCAGAAGGAAAAAAAAAGACATTTTTGATTGAGACTTGTCGATTCTATTGTCAAGCTCATTATCAAATTGTGCATAAATAGGTGTCATTATCTTTTTCTTACTTTATTTTAGATTGCTATTTTACTGTAAGTTAGTAGTCTATTGACTTCTCTCTTTGTTTAAACTTACACATTTTTCTATAGGATCTATTCATATATGATCATATCTTAATAGTATCTATTGAAGTCATATTGATGAAATTGGAATAGTCCATTATTTAATACTAAAAACATAACTAGGTAGTTTTTTTGCATTCTTTCATACTAAATTTTAAAGTAAAACACATTTTATTTCCATTTTCAAGATCTATAAGAGACTTTTTTACGTATGAATCTGATGAAGATGAAATTGATAATACTTGATTATTTGCTAACGGTTATTCTCTTTGGTTGCGTTCGTGCAAATATTTATTCTGTAAGGTACTCTCTGACTAGTAAGGGTACACAATATATACCCAAAGAGCCAAACGATCTATTCGACTCAATAATAGTGCCTTTTGGTTCGTCGTCCATTCAATGCGCGGAAGCTTGCAGTATAACATTTCCTCGTTGTCGTACGTTTGGATTCAATTCATTGACATTAGAATGTCAACTATTCGAAAGTGATATGACTACTGGACAAATAAATTCTTCTCCATTATCACGAGATTCTCTCGTAGGCATAGCTCAATTGAGCTCAGATATGTATACAGATTATGGTCATCCATGTTCTCAAGATAACAATAACATTTTTCTCATATGTACAAATGGTACTTTTCAGTGTCCATCACGAACATTTTTTCAGGATTCGATCTGTCGACGACAAAAATCCCAAGGTGAATCATGCACTTCGACAATTGAATGTCGAACTGATCTTAACTATTCTTGTTTACAATTTTTCAAATGTGGACGTAAGTTCGACTATATTCTATTCAATATTATAATTTCATGTATTTTAGCTTTATCAGTGCTCGAAGGTGAGACTGTTGCTGCCTATGAAAATGGTACAGCTGGAAATGATAGTATTGGACTCGATACTCCTCTTTCAGTATATATACTATCAGATAATTATTTTTACGTCACGGACTCAAACAACGCTCGCGTTCAACATTATTCTTTAGGCTCGAAAATTGGTAGAAGAGTAGGTGGTGATGGTACAGTTGGTTCAGGAGCATCTCAATTGGGAAAACTAGCTGCCGGTATCTATGTCAATAGGAAAACTCAAGACTTATATATTGCTGATAACGCAAATCAACGAGTCCAACTTTGGCCAATTAATGCAACCATAGGGTACACAGTTTTTGGAAGTGTATCTACTGGTCTCAATAATATTATCGGAATTCGAGTCGATAGTCTAGATAACATTTATGTCTCCGAATATCTCAAAGGTCGGATTGTTCGATGGTCATCAAATACCACCAACTTGACTGTTGTTGCAGGTAACGGTACATTAGGTTCAACTGCTGAATTATTAAATTCACCGCGTCATATTGATTTGGATACCAGTAGCCAATATCTATACATAGCCGACTGCAACAATCATCGAATACAAATGTGGCATATATCAAACAATGGAAGTCTAACAGCAGGAAGAGGTATCACGGTTGCCGGTGGTAATGGAGCTGGTCCTGAATCCAGTCAATTGAATTACCCTAGAGCAGTAGTTGTATCGTATAAAAATGGTGCAATTTACGTTAGTGATTCACACAATAATCGAGTTCAACATTGGGAGATGAATGCCAGTTACGGTGTGACGATTGCCGGTAGTCCGAGTGGACAATCAGGTAGCAGTGCATCTCTATTATTCTATCCGACAGGTCTCGCACTTGATCCTAATGAAACTTATCTCTTTGTTTGTGATACAGGAAATAATCGCGTTCAACGTTTTCGTCTCATTTAACATTTTATTAAAATTTTTACAATTGATCAAATCAAGAATTCTCAAAAACATTTAAATATTTATCGTTCATTATCTTTAGTTGTAGTTTATGTATTTGTCTATAATATCTCTCTAGACACGTTCACATGCTTGTTTCATTTTTCGTATGCATAAAAAACCGTCAATTAAATATTACTCATACTCTCAATGTTCATATTTATTTTCCCATATAATAAAAGTTTAAAATTCCAAATATGAGCAGGAACCAATTTTTGAATAGATTCAATCTGAAATAGAATCGTCATTGATAAAAGCAGGCAATCAACATTACTTTTAAATATTTTTCAAATTGATGACAACTTATATCTTGTTATATAAATATATTCCTATGTAAACTTTTATTTTGAATTCAATATAGAAAATAAACACTGAATACTACTATGAAACTTGACTAGAACCATGATCTTGTTGAAATCTATTTATGTACTATTGTTGTTTCTCATTTTCTAAATATGAACGACATTCTTCGACCATTTCTTTTTCTTTTTTTAAGAATATTGATAATATTCTACATGAAGTAAAAGTTGCTTGAAAAGTTGAAAATACATAAAAAGATACTTTCTGTTAAAGAATGTTTTCAAAATTATTGAAGAAGTAGAGAGGAATTATCTATTCGTACTATTAGTGAACTTCAATTTAATGTTGTTAATTCAGCTGAACAAAATTATGAACTTGTTCCTAGCAACAAACAAATTCTAATAAGAATGGTTAATTTTAAAGATTACTATAGAAAATATTGTGAATATCAGTGTGGATGTAGAGTCAGTATTTTTCAGCGGTTGAACAGAATAGCCACATCCATTCTAGGTTTTGTGTCTCACAGCATGACAATATATGAGAATACAAATTCTCAAATTCCAAGTTTTAGACGACGTGGAGGTTATATTCTTTTCAGAATACAATTTATATTCGCATTTGCGCGCAGGTCTCCTTGAAATTTTCGATTTTGATTGTTTTTTTTAGCAAGTTGTCTAGAAATTTAGATTTCTCGTCTACCGAGAATCTTGAAGCAACCTTTATAGATAATCGCTATTTTTGCACAATAGGTTTTCTCTGATGAAAAAGGCAGGTTCGCAAATTTTTCATACATGTAATACTTGAAACTTGAATTCAAGTATTCAACTATTCAAAATTCAACTTCTCAAGTGTTTTGCGGATATTCAGTGGGAAAGCGCGTTTCCCCACCTAACACACCTTTTATTTCAGCGTCGCGGCGTGGGGGCGCGAAGCGCCGCGACCCATGCACGTCTCTGTGTACACCATTATTCCTACTCAGTGCTACATAGTAGCTCAGGCTTCTCACACACTTCTTGTAGCATTCCAGATAATGTCTGAAGCATCTCAACCAAAACCTGTAGCATTCTAGAGGATGCTTGTAGCATCATAGGTGATACTTGTAGCATCATAGGTGATACCTGTAGCATCATCGGTGATGCCTATAGCATCCTAGGGAATGCTTGTAACATCATAGGTGATGCTTGTGGCATTCTAGGGGATGCCGGAGGCATCCCAGACAATACCTGTCGATGTTAGATGATTCTGGTGGTATTCCAGACGTTGAATACTTGAATAGTTGAACTGATAGTTGAATACTTGAATTCAACTTTCAAGTTTGACACTACTGGTTGATATATAATTAAGGGAAAATATTTTTCGTGATATTCAACAATGATTAATGAATCTTTTCATAATTTAATTGAATGTTTCGCAGAATAAATTTGATAAAGATTCGATATTTAAAAGCTAATTAGAATCGAATTGTTTATGAAAATATTGAATGATAATTTATCAGTAGAATTTCTTTTTTCAGATTTCTATGGTTTGAATAATGGGATTAAATTTGCTATAAAATGCATTTGAATTCATATTCTAGTCAGTGTACTTTAGTCAATAAAAAAAAAAGTTAGTAAAACTATTGGAGATTGTTTAAACTTTTTCATGAACAATTTTTTGAAATTAAATATTCGTAAGGAATACGCAACGATAACATATATCTACGTTGAATCGTTTAACTCAAGACTAAATTTGAAATAAATCCATAAAATAAAAATAATAGAATGAATATTTTTGAATAGAACGAATTATTAACTAAAAATAATCACTGAACTATTTACTATGTTTATTCGATCTCTTGGATTTTGTGAAATTTTATTTATTGTTTAGTAAAATTTTCGCATCTTATTTCAATTTAAATCACTTGTTTTCGAACAATACGAAAAGAAAATACGAAACCCTTCCAAACATTGTGTTGTAAAAGAGCATATTATTTTATGAAGCTTCATCTGCTGTCTAGTCTCGAACACTTTTTTTTCTTCCTAACAAATATGATCGACGTTGCGTAATTACGTTAAACATCTCTTATGTTGTGATACATTGATTTTGCGTTCGACGCTATTTCTCGAATAGTAATTACTCAATATCAACTCAATGTCAACTTAATATACTGATCTGTTGAAACAACGTACGAAGGTCCGAAAGTGATGGTTTATCTAAATTTTCTATCAACTGCACACCTAACACGTGTAACCTAACATCACCATCACTACTCATGACCTTCTTTTTTCATTTCTTCTAGCGTTGTCTACAAGTTGATGAAATGAATGCGCTTATTTTTCAGTGTTTATTTTTAAGCATACTGTTTGAATTTTTTTTGTGAATTCAAGCAAATATTAAAATCTATATATACCAGGAATTTCGGAAATAACTTACCAAAAGTTTTTGTGTTTTATTTCACCATTGACCAAAATTCATCGATTAATTTTCGTCTGTTTAATAGATAAACAAACTGAGTGTTTTTTGTTTCTAGAGACAGGCTTCAAAGGCACTATTGAAAACTAGGACATTCGAGAAAAATAGCAAAATGTAGCTTGTTACCTATTTCCTAAAAAATTATGACCGAACATTTCTTTTCAAATTACTTTTAGTTATTGAGTGATTCAAATCTTTCGACTATTGAAGTCTTGAACAGTCTTTTTATAGAAATTTATTTTGTCATGCCTTCAAAACAATAAATAACAGAGTATCAGGTCACAATTTAAACAATGAAAATCTATGCATAATTGATGAGTTTTCAGGAAATAGGAAACGCACTATATTTCGATATTTTTCTCGGAGGTCCTAGTTTTCAACAGTGCTTTTGGAGCCTGCTTGTAGATATAAAAATTCGATTTGTTTATCTATTATACAGAAAAAAATTAGTCGATGAAATTCGGTCTTTTGTAAAAACTTCTGGTAGGTTATTTTCGGAACATCTGGTAATCGAAATCAGTATAACTTAGATAAATGACTGTGTTAAATATATGGCTGGTCAGTTTTTTAGAAATCTTGATGGATGACACTGTTTTCTCTCGACTCTAAGGAGGGTTATATGAAGTCAAATGAATTTGTTTGACTGTTTCACACTTTTCGGAAACTTCTCTATGAATTTTCGATCATAGGAAATCCGAATATGAAGATAGAATTTTTAAGTAGGTTTTTTTGAGTAAAGGGATGAGCTGTTTAGAAAAACTAACGAGTGTTTTATAACGCTTAATAGATGGTAATCAGGGTGTAGGAAATCGGAACAAGGGGGAAATAGCAGACTCCACGTGACTCGGATTCTGCTGTTTTCTCCTTGTTTTAATTATCATCGTAAAATCTTGAAAAAGACGAATACGAAAATATAAAGAAAGACTTAGTTTTATATCAGGTATTAGTTAACAGTTTTCTTTGTGTAGTATCTTGTGTGACAAATACTATTCAATATAGTGAATCAACGAAGAATTCGTTTGTGTAAAAATTTATAGAACAATAAAGAAATATAGATAATATTGGTTGTCATTAAAATGTTTCGATTAGAGTATGGTTTCACTTATCGAAAATTTAAAAAACAGATTCAACTGCCAGACTTTAATTGACAATCAATTCATTCGATGTGATCCAATTAACTAGACTGATAAGAGTTGCAACGAATTTTATCTCTGGTTAAAAGGAATTCAACAGTTGAAATCTATTTTCTTTAAGATAGCTTTTTTTCGTCCGATCTAATCCCATACAAAGCTCTGATCTTACACATAATTTGAATATTAACCATTAATCTGGACATTCTAACAAAGGATTATCTTAATATAGAAGAATGATTAAATTTTATGACGTTTAGTATTTGGAGAGAAGTTTTTGATTGCATCGGCTTTTCTATTTTACCTCAAAAGAAATGGTAATCCAGTTCTCTTCGTGAATATTGTTTTTTTTGTATGCACTACCTTATAGTCGATTTATGATAAATTAACGGCCTGAGTGTGGGTGTTGGCGTGTCTGGGCGGGGTGGTTGTGGATGTGAAGAGAATATTTACTCCTATAGCCACCCAAACCCACCCACATCTTGTAGATCGAACTATAGCTGACTTGTATATGTCTCTGATGATATCATTATGATCTATATGCTGGTGAAGATCATAGATCTGTCACCTTTGATGTAGTATGATAAGAGGATGTGTATTATTTTCTCATCGATCTCCTTTCTAATACATACATCATTTTGGTGTTTCGGAAATTTGATTGTTTTCAAAGTAATCCCGTCTTCAAAGAGTTAATCAAATACGGAAATTAATCACTACATCATATCCATCATATTAATTAGCCAACAATCTAAATTATATTTTTCCTCTTATAGATTTTCACATCCATAAAATAATATCTATTTGGTCCTATTTTGATGTCATTATTCAGTTTTTATTTAGATTTATTTGTTTTCTCCTATTATTGTAGTTTTCTATTTCAAGAACATCATCATCTAATTTTTTAGAAAGAAATCATTAACAAATAGTATTGCATCAACATCATATATTCTTTCATGAAAAAGATTTTTCTCTTGTGGTTAACTGCGGTTTCATCAATCAAATAATTAAAGTATTGGAAGATGCAGACTATAAAGAGAGTTCTTTTTTTTTAATCAAGAAGCAACGAGGATGACGACAACGATCGTTCTGCTAACAAGAAAACGAAGATAGACACTATCACAACTGCAGATGCATCAAAACAAACCGATGATGACTCTACAAATGTAGATAACAAGACATTGAATCAACTCAAATTTATATGAGAAAATCTGTCTTTGACATGAATTAATACTTACTACAAGAAGATATTTCTATGAACTTAAACTTTTTTTAAAATTTTTTATCAATTCTCAAATTCACTGTTTGTTTATTTTCATCTCTTCCTATTTGTACGGCCTCAGTTGCTCGAAATTTCATTTTATCGAATATTTTCTTTCGATTTCGGATCAATTAATTTTATTACTGTTAATCCTAAACCTGACTCACACCCTCAAAATCGACAACTACGATAGATACATGTCATAAATAGGAGATATTTGAGAACGATATCTTTAATCGATCATCAAGATATTTTTATGATGTCGAGAATGAGTCATCCTTGAATTAGATCTATTAGTATATAGTAATAGACATCACTTCGAGCCTTTGATTACACCCTCACCTTCAACAGCTACACATTGTTATGCCTATTTTAACTGAAATCCAATAGATCACCTTGAAATATTTGAGATATTTTTGCTTCTATTTATTGGAAGTTTGAAAGATAGAATATCAACTTGACCTTCTGTTGTTCTTAAATTTTGAATAAATTGTATCAAAACTACCTGACGAGTCTTTTTGAGAAGCAAAAGACGAAACTCGAATCGTAGCAGCTCACTATAGATACTCATCCTCAAGAGAAGGAATGTTAGAACTTTGTTTAGCTATCCTCATTATCAGATGTTTTAGTACAATATTTTATTCAAAGATTCATAATCAGTATAATGATTACATTGAAGTTTAAAATTATTGATAAATAAGTGATTCAAATAAAATCTATAATAAAGAAGTAAGCGACAAGACAAGCAGAATAAGAATGTAAGCGTGACAACATGCTAAAGAATTCATTACGCCAGACACTATTAAAATGTGTTATTGGATTTCAAATTTGATACAATGAGAAAAGCCAAATGATTGTAGCAAAACATCCAATAAAAGTATTTGTAACTTAAGAGGTTCACGAAAAAAAAACTCAGGGATGTATCGAGGTGCTTGTCTCGACGGTTTGATTTGATTGACATTGACAGGTATTCAAAAGAATAAATACAGCACCTCTTGTATCATCCGAAGCGAGTATATCTTGACAACCATCATTATTAAAATCAGCAACATCAACCCAAGTATAAGTACCAACGAATCCTGTAGAAAATATCATTTGTACTTCAAAATTTCCATCTCCATATCCAACTAGAATATATATAACGGAGCGTAAGATGGGATTAACAACAATGTCCGAATGACCATCATTGTTAAAATCACCAACAGCAATTCTTGGGTAATTTGTTCTATTTCCCACTGGGAACTTCGCTACTGGACCCATAGTTCCATTACCATAGCCTAAAAGAACACCTAAACTATTTCCAGAATTATACGAGACAACGACATCTGATCGATTATCACTATTGAAATTGCCAATAGCAATAAAAGATGAATAATAAAAACCATCAGTGAAAGATGTCTTTTGTTGTTCAAAGGTTCCATTACTACGTCCAAATAAAATGCCAATATTTCTGGACATAATATTATTATAAACAATGTCTTGGTAACCATCACCATTAAAGTCAGTGATGGCAACTGACGATGGATTTCCATTGCGTCCTGTATAATATGTCGTCCGTGTTGAAAATGATCCATTATTATTTCCTAATAATACAATAATAATACTATTCGATGGATGGACGACAGCAATATCTAAATGATTGTCACCATTGAAATCAAAAACAACAATTTCTCTCACATTAGTTTTGTTTCCCAAGAAGATTGATACTACTGGTCGAAATGTTCCATTACCATGTTCGAACAGAAGATAGACATAGGCCTTATTTTCACTGGTAAAAGCAAAATCAAGTTTATTGTCTTTATTAAAATCAGCCGCAGTAATAACAAAAAACCAACTGTTGAATGATCCTACCAAAGTCTTCATCTCTGCAGTATAATTTCCTTTACCATCTCCAATCAATACATGCATACTATTGGTATAGTAATTGAAAAAGGCAACATCGAGTAGACTGTCACCATTAAAATCACCGGCAACGGGTGATTTAAGACCAGCAGTCGAACCACTTCTATATCTAGTTGTTGCTTGGAACTGTAATTGACAATTTGGTACTAATAAAAAGGAAATAATCATTAGTTTTTATTAAAGGATAAAAAGATCTGAAAAGGAATATGGACGGGCTCAGATAATGTTAGATTGATCTGAACAATTTTTTATTATTTAATGATAGAAGAAAATAAAATTGATATTAATATGCTCACAGTGTCTAGTTATTATCGTAGTTGTTGTTGTTGTTGTTGTTGTGCTTGGTATTGTTATATTTTTGATAATATTGACTGTCATTGTTGTCGATAATGCTAATAATAAAAAATAAAATTCAATCTATAGAATAATTTATATATTGATAAATGTGTTTTATCAGAATTTCTATATAAATATTTGTCAAAGTAATGAGGGAGAGAGAAATTGTAAATATGTCATACTTGTTAGAATAACTTTATTTTTTTCCAGTTGAGCAAGGTGAATGGAAAATTGTATGAGAGCTATTATTATAAACAATAATATAAAAGATGTTAAAACAATCTTTAAATACCATCGATTTGATGAGTGCAACGTTGTTCTAAAGAAAACAACTATAGATAATATATGAGATAATAATAAAAAATCTATACTTAGATAAAACACTTGTCAGCAATGTCTCGTCATTCGAAAGAGAATTGTTAACATTTATGTTATTAATTTCAATAGTTATCATATTGAAAGAACGTGATGGTTCAATAATATTTAATTGTTTCTTTCGATTTTTATGTAGTTTTGCTATAATTCGAACTAATTTGGGAGAAATCCATTGAAGAACAATTGTCAAACCACCTTGAAGACCAAGTAAAATCGTTATTATATAGAGTATATTGAATTTTTGAATGTAAGTATATGAACATAATAAAGGTAAACATTGTTTATAATAGGATGAATAATTTATTGCTGTTGCCCATTGTTCAACAAATAAATCATTGATAAGTTCAGCTACAGTAGTATTGATTGAGAATCGACTCATATTTATCTCAAGAGGAATAATTTTATTCGTTGAATTGGTATATCGTTGAATTTGATTAATACATGATTGATCATAGAAACATTCAAGAGTTGAAAAACGTAATGATTCACTTGGTGTACAACCCATTTTCAAGCCTTTTATTGAAATTCTAGAAGAATTTCTTTCAATAAAATTTGCTTGAGTAGTACAATTTGGATATAATCCACAAGAACAATTATTATCATAGATTATTGCTTGATTAGATATATAAGGATAGTAATCATTGTTCCAAAACCAAGTCGAAATATATTCAAAATTTGTTTCATAAGTCGATACTATGGCATTTCCATGATTGATACTCCGAATTAAAAAGAAAAGATGAGCGGATGTTTTCGGTGCACTTGATTTACTCTGTTCGATCAATAAATGAAAACGTGCATGAAAATCTTTTTCTGATAAAAGTTCTGAAGTAATGAAAAGTGACGTCAGAAATTGTTCAATTGAATTGTTCACTGATTGAATGGAAAATAGACATAATCCTTGAAGATATTGTAAATGAGCAGAAAGAAAACGACGATAATCTCTCTTTTCATAAACAGTAAGATTAGGAACAAGACCAGTTGTTATATTGATTCGCCATTGATCCGAAGTAAATGAACTTGTACAAATCTATAATTAATTAAATAGAACTATAATAATCAATATAAAATTTTCTCTTACTTGATGAAAAATTGCTTCAATTTGAACAAATTGTTTGTATTTTGATGCAATTACTGAACATGAACACTTTAATTTATCTTGATATTCTTTTTTAAGTTTATTGTACAAATAAAAAGATGGTTTATCAAAAGTTTTTGTTATAATTTGAGGTCGAACAATAGTATATAATGTGAGAATAGCAAGACCAATTATAAATAAAATAATATAAAGACGTGTTGTCAACTTTCCAAGATATTTGGCTATCCTTCGATCAACATTACTTCCAAAACATCGTGATGGAAATATATTTAGATTGACTGCATCGGTATAGAAACGCAAGACCAAATTTCTAATAATCATCTTAAATTTATTGAATCTACTGAGATGAACTATGAATAGAAATGAAATATCTTTTATTTTTATTTTTATCACAAGACAAATATAATCTTTAGACTGATTACACTAGAGAATTTCTCATCGAATTTGAAAATTTCTTTTTGTATTAAATTGAGAATTTTATCTCAAAGACTCGTTAACTGACAACGATCTCTAGAAGATTATAGTTCTCTTTCTAAAAATAATCTATTTAGAGATTTCTTATAATTATCTAACCAATGATTACCTGATTGTTCTTGTTTTTGTTCTTGTTGTCTTTTTCTAATGAACCTTAAGAATAAGTAATACATAAATTTGATGAACCAAGGTGTAATTAAACGTAATGAGATAGTAAGACCACGAATCATGGATACTAATATTATTATTACTTCAATAATAGTATTTGCGCGAATCCTCTGAGAATAAGTGCAATAAGTTGGCGCACATAATTTATAAAACTGATTATATGAATATGATGGATTCCATTTTTCAATCATCATCTCTTCAATTATCATTGAAATTGAAGTATTTGGAGGATAACGACTTAATGTTGGATCATAAACAAGAGGATGAACATCAAACCATGATGGATATTCAATATTTTGAAAAAAACTCTCTTTTATATAATTCATTAGAATTGGAAAACAGTCTGCATCTGAATAGAAACAGAAAAGTTGCGAAAATAGAAGAGAATTAAGCGTAGAACAACCTGCAATTGAGCCTGGTACTATATAATCGATGTATGCATGAATAAGAGAATCCCATACATGATCCATTTGGTAAATAGCAACAGGACTCTGACAATAAAAATTTGTAGCACAAATACAGTTTATCGATGATAAATTGACATAACGAGTTCCAAGCAAATGAAATATTACCTACAGGAGAAAAAGAAGGATCCCGTTCGTGTACATAACATTTGTGCATCATCTAATGGATATTTCCCGAAGGTTACTGATTTACTATCCTATCTATACCCTATGATCTCTTTAAAATAAACGGAAGTGTAACACAAAGAGGCATCTACTTGACTTTTACGTTATAAAGAAGATATACCTGTAATGATCGTTCATTAGTTATATTATTGGTTCGAATATTTCCCACTAGATTTAAATTTGGAAGAGCATTCCATGAGTTTGTTCTTGATCCCATATAAGGCTGATCTACTTGCGTAATAAGATGTCCTATATCAATAAGAGAACCAAAAGCATTTATTGTCGATTTAAAAAAGTGATCGAGCTCTTCATTTATTTGTTTATCAAACTCATTTTCGGGCAGAACACTTGAAACAATTAAAGATCGTAAAAGAAAGCGATGAACAGCGTCGTTGACCGTATTATTAGCCAGTTGACAAAGGTTAGATAATGAACTAAATTGTGAGTAAGCTCTGTTACGCCAATCTTCAGAAGTCCAATCAGCTACGTTTTTTACTATTGAAAGCCAACGATCCGTAACAAAATCACTCGAACATACTTGATGCAAGATTGGAGACAATGATATAAATGTTTCATAAGGTATTATCGTCGTCGAACAAGGACATCGAAGTGTATTCGAATATAAGACTTGTAAAGTGTTGTAAGTAATTAATGATGGACTTGATACCCTTGTTGTAACTGTTTCAATCCTCAGAGAATTGAAAATAAGAAGAATCATAAACGAACCTAGTGATGCAATAACATAAATGAATGTATTCATAGAGATATAGTTTTGATTGCTGTAACCTCTGAATGAGTTCATAATAGAAATGAATTAGAGACTAATTCTAAAGTCCTATGCGATATAGGAAAGATTTATACAGGATTACCATCTGGTCTATATAGACTTTATATAATATATATGAGTGAATTCCACCGATATTGCACCGTTGGCTTCCGACCACAAACTCGCTTATATGTCAACTTCTACTCAACAGATTTTAATAATTGTTTTTGTAATATTTCTTAGAATCTCTCTGAATTAGAGCACTTCAAGGTAAAAAGGTCAAAACGAGTGCTTTTTTGGACCACAGAGAAAAAGATGCTATTTTCCTCCTAAATATCTCCTCTTTGATTTCTCGATAACTATAAAAGATAAACCCATGACTTATTCTCTCTAACTATTCTCTTGGCGGAAATAAACTGTACACCTAGTTTTTGACAATTAGTTATCTAAAACATAGGATTTATATCTCATATTTATACCATAAATACAATGTGACAGTCCCTAACTATAAATCATATAATCGGTCTTTGACTGGAACAATTTGTTAAAAAACAAGACAATATTTTTTATATCATTTTGTGTCTTTGTCAAGGCACTATTTTTCTCTCCGCTAATCAGTGATATTATTGTTTAATTATCATGTGAGAGGAACGACATCTTCTGTTGTTATTGTATGAGAATATATTCAATAAAATACATCTAACCATATGCCTAAACTAGGAATAATTCCTGATTAGAAGAGAGAAACATAAAAAAAATGAGAAATGAAAAATAGTGCCTTTCAAAGACACAAAATCGCACAAAAAATATTGTCTTGTTATAGTGGTAGTTAGAATAGTACTAAGTAATAGAAATAAATATTTAAATATCTCTGTTCATTAGACTTATTTTAATGTTTATCAATAAGATAAGTATTTCCAGTGAAAATAATTATACCGATCAATAATATTAAATAGACACGTGTAATAATCTTCTGTTGTTTGATACTGTTTTCTGATCGTTGATCAGCTCTTTTAAACAAGTTTAATCGTTGGATTGATTGAATGAATTTATTCAAAACTGTGCTTTGAAATATTGTTTCTTTTGAATAGTCCTTTAATTTGAAGAATATTTTGACTAATAATGGTGAGATCAACCGAAGTATACAAATGAGACCACCATATAAACTGATGAAAACAGTTATTGCATAAGACAAATCTGTTACCTCTGTTGTTGTATATGAACATGATAAAGGTGCACATTCATTAAAATAGTTTGAATAATTCACTTCTGTTAACCATTCTTCAATAAAAAGATTAAGAAATTTATCGTATAAAGTTATATTTGCTTGTTTTGAAGATAAAACTGAATTAGTCAAATTGAAATCGAGCTAAATAAATATATTATCTTAATAAAGATAGAATTTTAAATTCTACAGACTTGATTAAGAGCTGGAAAATATGAGATTAGTAATTGAATACATTCCAAATCATACAAACAATCGAATGTACTGGCTAGAAGAGCCTCAAGAGGAGTACATCCTCCAAAGAATCCCTTGACAAGTGAAGAATTTGGTGTAGCTATATACCACATGGCATGACTATAAACACCTGTTGTAGATGGAGTTGGTAAGAAACCTGCTGGACTAATTGGATTTTGAATATCACACATCATCGATTCGACGTTCGCAGAGCCAAGATTATTATCTACATAATATTGTGTTTGTAATTGATTAATACTATAGTAACTTCCTTCGTTATTAGTTGAAAGCATTAGATTTGTATTAAGAGCCGAAACTATGAAATTTGCTCGAATATAAATTCTTATATAGTTGAGAAATGAAATAATTTGACTAGATAAACTATTCTTCAAGATATTAACAGTGGCATTTACTTCAGACTGAATTTGTATTTCTGGAAGTAAGTGAATGGTTATAAATTCATTATTATCAAAGTCAAGCTGATTTTGAGAGACTATATCTTGAGAGATTGAACAAAAATCAGCCACAAGTTGAAACTATACAATAAAAAAAAAAGATTAATTAGAACTGATCATTTCGATATTGAGTAAGATTTCAGTGAAGTTGGTATAGTCAGAAATATTTTAATTCAATCAATTAAAGAAACATTATTTGGCAAATCGTAGTTCAACTTAATATAATAGAATAATAGATTCTAATTATATTTTTTATAGGTTTCGAATAAGATTGATTTATAAATAAATATTGACATACCTGAGACCTAGCTGTTGTTCGAAAATCATTTGCTAAATAACTACTTGCGTTTAATATGTAGAATGCTTCAATCAATTGTTTATCAACAAAAACACTCGAACAAACAGAATGAAATGTGATTGTGTTGGAAATAAAGTTTTTATGAGGTATTGTGGTTGTCGAACATGGACAAGAAAGAGTTTCACCATGATTTTGATAAAGTTGATTGAAAATAATAGGAGTTATATTAGAAATAATCACTGTTCGAGGATGTGATCTCATCAACGTTATGTAGAAAAGAATATAGAGAGACACTGAAAATAAATAAAGAGAAGATGAAGAAATCATTAAAAATTTTACAAAGGATATTTTATCAAACTTTAAAGACTTCTTAAGTAAACTCTTCATACTTTTTTATCACTAATACGGCATATACGGTATCATTTAACGATTATATTTATAGTTGAAAACTCTTCTTCTTAATGAATGACGCCAAAAAATAATAAAATAGCTTGTCAGCGCAACTCCTACACAGTTAAAATGTGGAATTGACATATACCGTGAATGCAAAGCATGCGCCAGAATAAACAGAGATGTGTACAGGGCAAAATATTCTGTTTTAGATCCAAGCCTATAAACGTCATAGAACAAGCGCTAAAAATATGAAAACTATGCTATTCAATGGAGAAATCTCTGATCTTCACGTTCTCATAGTTGATTTCAGTAATTTTTCTGATTAACATCCAGTACTGAAATCAACTATGCGAGTGTGTAGATCAAAGACTTCTGCATCGAATAACATCGGTTTTACATTTTTAACACTCGTTCTATGCCGTTTATAGGCTCGAGTCTAAAACAGAAAATTTTGCTCCATGCACATCTCTGAGAGAAAACGTATTCGCTAATGTTTGGATTTTTCCTCCCTCCTAATTGCTATATATTACAGTAAGGACGTTCTTTTGATAATTCTATTTCTATGGCAACTTACCGGTTAATAATATTTCTCCTGTTTTTGTTATCCAGGAACCTATACTTGAACACTTGTTGTCTCACTTCCTCTCCGTGATTGTCATGCACTTTTCTCAGCCTGACTTATGTGCCTCTGGCTTGTGTACTTTTTACATGGAAATATTATGATGATTTCCCAGTGAAATTCAAGAGTTGCCTTGGTAAAAAAAAATAAAGAAATCACAATAATCAAAATGAAATGAGTATTATAAGAACTTTAAAAGAAGGTTCAAAGAGATTGCATCAATGAGTGAGCAATTAACAATGTGATCATCATATGTTATTAGTCAAAGCTACAATCAGTTACAATAATAAATAATCATTTCTCATAGTCCATCATAAAAAGTACTTCAATATATCTTTTTTTAAAAATTGATCTTCTTTTGAAAATATGAAATTTTAGAATGACAGGCCAGGCCGTGACTTGTCAAAGATCTTGACCTGATCTGCCTTGCCTATTCCAGCCTCAGAAATCACGGTCTGTTTGGATCCTTGATAGTGAGACTTTCTTTCTGAATTACATTATTGCATTTCCATTGATTTTTACATTCTTTTTTTGATTCACTCTCTGTCAATATTTTCTGAAAAAACAATAGTACGCACAAACGTATTTATTTCAATGATCACTTCGATTTCATCTCAAAGAAAGTTTTGTTGAAAGATAATAATGAAGTATTTAATCTTTGAATTTAGAACTAATAAAATCTCCCGACACTTACAAATATTTGAAAAAACTTTCATACTGAAGTTTGGAGTAAATTGTATTAAGGATGTAAATGCGAATAACAATGAATAGAAAAGTAACCATAATCGCCACCTATATCCTCATTCACTGAACCATATCTTTAAGATCTGCATCTCAGCTTCACACAAGTCTCAATTCTTTCTTTCAAGAAGATTCATCACTAAACATATATATTAAAAAGCTAAACCTTGCATGTTACCTACCTATGAGAAGAAGAACATACAACCATGTCATATATTTTTGATGTTTAAGAACAGTTGCCGGATCTTTTCGTTCATTACCTTCATCATCGTCATAATCATTTTCGTCGAGCATAAAAAGATTATAGTTCTTTCCTCGCTCATAAATCCAATGAAATATAACTTTAGGATTCATCGTTTATGATGAATCACTATTTACAAGAACAAAATACTCGTCTTGTAACTTCACAAACAATTCGAATGTGTTAATCTAGAGAAAAGCATTTTTTCAATAAAAATAAAAATAAAAAAAGACAGTAAATTATTAACAAAGTAGGCGAACAATTATGCAAGAATCATTAGTATCACAATTCATACAATGACAAACTCCTATTTAAAATAGCAACGACGAGTTCTATTCGAAGAAATGAGTGTTATAGTGTGGTTCACTGATATATATCCTGCTGGCGAAAATGAACTGTACATCTAGTTTTTGACAATTAGTTATCTAAAAGATAGGATTTATATCTCATATTTGTACCATAAATAATATGTGGCAGCCCCTAACTATAAATCATATAATCGGACTTTAACTGCAACAACAGGAAGATAAGGCTATAAGATCAATATGTTCTAGGAATGAGGATTATTAAATGTTCTCTTATGAACACTATATTGAAAGTGTTTGACATATATCACTATGAATAGGTATATACTAATAAATTAGATACGAATATTTTCAATACAATGCTCATAACAGAAAACTTAATAATCCTCATTCGTAGAACATATAGATCTCAAACAATAATAGATCGTTAGGACTATAAATGTACTAAAATTGATAAAAAAGTCACGTTTTTATGATAATCGGTTGAAGCTACATAAACAACAATACTAGAGGTATCCCATTGACTGATCATGCACATATATACAGGATGGCCCAAAAGTCATGCACCCGAAAAGAAATTGAACGTCTCCATAACGGCTCTAGCAAGCTGGCTGATTTTTTTACCACTAGTAAACGCATGTTTACACTCCGTATCCATAAAGACAAGACGAGAGTGAACCCTTTTTTTAAGTGTCACTATTAACTTTAACCAAAAAATTTTAATTTTTCACAGATGGAAAAAAAAACAATGTAAAGGGTGGCGCAAAAGTCACTTTACCGAAAAAAAGCTGAATATCTCCATTATGGCTCGAGCAAACTAGCTGATTTTTTTATCAATGCTAGAGGCATGTTCAAGATTTATATCCATAAAGACGTACCTAGAGAGATCCTTTGTTAAGTATGTTGTTTTTTTTCATCTGTAAAAAAAAGTAAAATTTTTTTGTTGCGATTAATAGTGATACTTAACAAAGGACTTCTCTAGGCATGTCTTTCTGGATATAAAGCTTGAACATGCCTCTAGCATTGATAAAGAAATCAGCTAGTTTGCTCTAGCCATACTAGAGATATTCAATTTTTTTTCGGGTGCGTGACTTTTGGGCCACTCTGTATATCTTTATATATATCTGCAAAGTTTCACAAGGAAAGTTCTTACTTTGTTTAGTTTGTTGAAAGCACAAATGTATTCAGCTCTGCTAAGGACCTGAACGTAATTTAGATCTTTCAATTCCTTGACTGGCTGATATCCTTGTGTTTCTTGATATCTTTGAAACCTTTGAGTTCCTTGAATCCCTTCGGCTCCTTGAGTTTCTTGAATTTTTTGAGTTCCTTGGATATCTTGGGTTTATTTACTCCGTCATATACTGTGGTTTCTTAGTGCTCGTACGTGTTAAATAATTTTTGAGTTCAAAAAATCCGCAAGAGTTCAGATTCACGGAATTTGGACACGTCTTCCGTCGAGTCCAACCTGACGACATCCTGTAGTCAGTGCTACCGTGCTCTTATTTCTAATAAAACCGTGAGAGTGTTTCAATATTTTTAGAAACACTTCACATCTCTGTGTAAAACTAATTATCATCATAAGTCTGCACACTAGATCATATATTATCGATGTTCTGAATTTTTGTTTATGTATGCAATATTATATGAATAATAATCATGAAAAAATTGTAATTACCCGGGATCCTGTTGGCATCCGGATCCAGAAACTGGTGAACCCGATGGATTCTACTTACCAGCCAACACGTATAGAACAAGATCTTAAGCTGCAGACGCTCATGAAAAATTATCAAAAGAAATTTCATCTATAAAATATTGAGTTTTAAACTAGTTTATATTATATGGTAAATGTCCTATATATTTTCACTAATTTATTATTTATGTTCGTTTTTTTTCTTATGCCCTATTTTCTTTTCTTTCTTTTTGAGCTCCATTAATATATAATATGAGTGACATTTGCGCCTGAATTAGGTTTAAAAAAAATGGAATGCATGACAGTTTGCCAAATGTATTGAATGAGACTATGAAGTCCGACATGAACCAATAGGGGAATTTCTCTTGTTGAGAGATCCTGTTTTATGATTTCGATGTATACTAGTCACAAATAAAGTAGAGAGAAATCTCGCTCAATTCATAGTAAGGACAGAAAAGAAGTTAGATACTCGGAAATTATTATTTCTTTACTTTTAATAGAACCGTTTTCAGTAAGAAAAAATGTAAGTGTTTTTCTCTAATTAAAAACAA